ATCTAACATGTTGGACGAGCGTGAGTGAAGTTAGAACCATCACCGAGCAGACAAATTGAGTCGCCTTCTTCTTGACGGCGGCTCGAACACCCTCTCTTCTTCAATCCATCAATCAAGCATAAGTTGTTCCTCTTCAACTCTGTATACTGCTCCTCACATTCAACATATTTCCTAAGCTATTAATTTCAATGGCCTCTCTTATCTTTCTTTTTACCACAGACGTACCATAATTAACAAACCTACTAGTTTGAGTCCATTCTATTTCATGTCCTGTTTGTACCATGTGTTCGGCCACTTCTGACTGTTGGACACATCTTCATTTACAAGCATTTTAATGTTATTCCAATCTGTGTCGAATAGTTCGGCATGCCCCACCACATAACATCGACCACATGAGGAAACAATCTTGTAGCAGCCGGATATTGATAATGGCATGAAAGAAGAAAGTGTGACGGTTTCTTTGAACACTGTTTTTATCCCCCACTCTTACTAATTCGCCTACCTTTTTTGAGAGAAGACATGACGGCAAAATTAGGACATGGGAAAAGGTCTCAGCCCATCTTTCTTTGACTAAATGGTCTCCATCTAAAAATTTATTCCTCAGTAGAGAAATATTATTCTCAATAAGGCCCAAAGGATAATTATTATCCAGTCGTTCTAACTCTTTAGTAAAATGATTGATTTCCACTAGCCTTATACTCCTAATTATCATTAATTTTAAATACCAACCTTAGTTTTGTAACTATTGTTGAAAACTATTTTATTCACGCTATGTGAAATTCAATGGAAATGTCAGTTCTATTCATATCATCTTGGGAAAATTCTACTACCAGTCCTTCATCACCTTAAACGAAAAAGGATGAATACATCTCATATTACTGATTTACTGGTAGTCTCGAAACTCTACTTACATACGAAACAAAAGAGCCAACATATTTTCGTTTCCTATAAACAGCTCTTCCTTACTTTACCTCTTCTCTAATGATGAAAACATCCAGAAATTGTAAGGACTTATTATCTTTCAGTTCCATTGTGAACCTAATGTTCATTTCACGCTGGTTGAGTGAAAATAGGAAACTATCTAAACCTTCCATACCATGAGGCCATCCATATACCTAACCAACAATTTGGGGATTAGTATTACCTCTTCCAATAAGTGTTCCTCCAGTCTTGCCATAATATTTTTCGCTAAGATGAGAGTCAGGCAAGATCCTATCGCTAGTGTTTGTGCTTGTTTGCATAACGTACCATCGTAAAATATCTGCTACTCATGGATAGGTTAATAATTCTAATTATGGTAACTACACCCAACCTTATTCCTTGTATTATCTCTGGATGCTCCTCCATAGTTTGTATCAGAGCTTGAATAGCTCCTTGAACAGTAATGATGTTTACATAGGCACAACATCAAAACTTACTAGCCTATCCTTCTCTGCAAATGTCTGCTGCTCAATCAATTTCACAAAATCATCAGAATTTTTTATTAAATATAGCCATAAATTGGCAGTTTTGCTTAGTCTTATGCATAAAAATCCTGAGATTTTATGCATCACGCTTTCTTTATTATTTACAATTAATCTTAGAGTGGCACCATCCTTGCGAATCTTAAGGAGACCGTAAGCCGGGGCACTTGCATCTCTCTAAAGTATAGAATTCATAATTATTGGTGGATTAACACACATACTTGCATGCTTCTTAATTGACATATGACATAAACAAGCCAAATAACTATATATCTCAAAAATATTTTTTTGAGGTTAGAATATTTATTCAGCATGTGTGTATAAGCTGGTGAGTTTTTTCGATAGGTTAGTTTGAAATAGTCCTTAAAATGGTACACGGCTCTAAGGACGACGAAAGAGCTTAGAACATTTTCCCCGAGACCACAGGACTATGACAAGCAAGACTTTCTGCTAAAACTAAACGACATCTGGACATGAGAAGCCAGCCGCCGTATTCTGATGGGATTGAACGACGATAACTTCAGCGTAAATTTTCACACAAATTAAAGGTTTTGCATGGAAAATCGTCTACAAATTTTATTGACGAGTGAAAAGCAATAAGAGCCCTACCGTGGTCTGGATGAGCATGGCGCGTTGGTCGCGCATTTCTGTCACCATTTGCAGTGGACGGACCGGCTGACCGGCTTCAATGCAGGCCATAGCTGTCTCCATGGTAATGAGAACGCCGGTGCGTCCAATGCCAGCTGAGCAGTGTACCACAACTGGGGCCGTGTCATAGCCTATGCGAGCGGCACGCACTCTTTGTACGAAGGCGATCAAATCGTCTGGGCTGTCGGGAACTCCGTGATCGGGCCACGAGATGTACTGCAATTGTACTACATGTCGGCGTTCAGTGTGGTGCTGGCCAACACTACTGATGCCAGGGCCGCCGAAGTTGGCGGAACTGGGCGCGGATCCCATGGCGGCGGTGAAGCTAGAGGGTAGACTGCGTGGGGAGAGATGAGCGTTTGGCGTGGTTGAATGGTGCAGGGATTGCGTGCCTCCACTGCCAGAGCTACCGTAACCACCTCGAGCCCATGGACCGGAGACAGCGGTCGGGGTACGACCGCGTGACAGGATGAATTCACGGTAGGCGAAATCTTGGGTCACCTTTGTGGATGGGAACGTAGCATAAAAACGTTATGAAAAGTCGTGGGAAAACATCCCAACAATCAAGCCTTTCCTAACCTAGGAGAATTAATTTCAGTTTCAAAGCTTAATATATCTGACGAGTGAAATGAAAAATGAAAGTTTTTTTCATCACTTAGACTTACATAATGTGACAAAGATCTTACGTAAGCATAAGAGACAGCCTAATCAATCGACGTATAATATCATAACCGAGTAGTAAGCTACATTTTAGTTTTTCATCAACCACCACAAGAGATCTAGGCTGACTTTAGTCATTAGAAAATGATCTCCTTGTATGTTAGAGTACCGTTCATTTCGGTTGAAGAGGCGAGTGGAGGTGATTCGTAATTTGATTCCACCGGAGGGTGTGAGGGGGTTTGAGATTTGTGCAAATAGGTCCTCGGTGCACCACCCTGCGACCCAGATGAATCCTTGCCGAGCCTTCGTCCGTTATGTGACGGACACCATGGTTAACGATAATTCACCAAAAACACGAGGGAAAGAAACCTAGTTTTTTTACAGATCTTTTTCAATAGTTTAAACCTATACCTTGTATATCTGACTAAAATAGCTGAATTGAAAAGTGAGCAATGCTCAGAGGTAGGATTTTGAAAAAGTACAAATTTGGGGATCCGGAAAATTTAGAAATAAATATAAATTTGAGTACCACTAAGTAACTTAAGGTTACTAACACCGAAATGAGTATGTCTAAAGACGCATTAAACTTTAACTTTGCCTTGCCTAGCATAAGGTTTTCCCATCTAAGGAAGAGTGAAGTTGCATTTTCGCCTGAATTTCATCAGCAGCCCCAACAAGATTCTAAATCCGAATATTCGCAACAAGTTACCACTCCGTTATACAGCCATGGTCAACAAAAGGTCATAGGTCAGATGTAACATTCTAAGCAAGTCAGAAATATTTAAGACACATTAGTAGCGGGATTGTAGATGGGGCAACCCTGTATTTTCGAAGATGTGAAGAAAAACTGGATTTCGAAGAATTCCTTAGTGATATATTGTGGCATGACTATCCATTCCGAAGAGAAAGTTGCTAGGAAGGTATTCGTAATTTGGTCTCACTGAAAACCGAAGGAGGATTGCCTCGTAGGAAAGATGGTGAATTGTGCGAAGAAGTTATCGGCTCACCGTCCTGCGACCCCGATGAAATAGTGTGGAGCTTTTGCTTTTACTGTGATAGACGTCATCAGAGCAAAATTGCATACTTTACGAAATAGGGCAAAAATATACCAAACAAGGAGAAAAGATGACAGGCTAGAACCCTAGTCGCTTTTTCATACACCTAACTTCGTGATCTTAATGAGGCATCCCATGATTTGGTTGGCAAATTCAGCCTTACTCTACATGCATGCATGCAAATGGGTGAAGTCACTTCCCGAAGTGGAAGCGCGTTTGGTGTCGGTTGTTTCCTTACCCAAATAAATGCGTGCACGATCCTTTAATATTGCATCATGTTTGGGTGTATGCCATTGTCTATCGTGTGTATGCAATGCTCATGTCATGGAAAGTGTGATACTCATAGCTAGACTCGAGGTTAATCCAACCTCCTCATGTTCAATGGTTATCCCTGCACTCCCTCTCTCTCCCTCTTTTTAAGTCTATCCAACAACCAAAAATAATTCGTTACTCCTATTCAGGATGTTGGTTGTTTTGCTAATTTGTATAAACCCTCCAATATTACGCTTTGATGTGAAATCCCAGTAATCCACAAAACGTTGTCTTTTGGACCAGTTTATTTAGTGTTTTGTATTAGCCATGTGTTTAGCCAGCCAAGATTTATTGACCCATAGACCTTTACAAGCGGTTTTGTGTTTGTATAGTTTCTTCTGGATGGGTCGGCAAGTCTCCCTCTCATAGACTTTACCACATGAGCCCAAAATCTTGTAGCAACCTGATCTAGAAAGAGGATTTAAAACTACTCTAAACGAAGGAGCTAAAGAATAAAGCATTCATTTCTCTTTGCAATTTTTTTAATGTTCCACTTCCTCAGTAGAACACCCAACTTTTTCGCAAGATGACAGGAATATGGAATCAGGAAACGAGCAGAATTGTCCAATTGTCTATCCCACCCCAGCTAACAAGCTCCCCTCAGCTTATTAACGATAATTGATATGTAATTGTTTATTAACCCTAGGGTTTATTGTTTTGAAGCAGTATATGCCTCAATCTACTGGTCTCCCAGTCCCTGTAATTTACATCTGCTATACGCAGACTCCTTTTAATCATAGACTTCATGACTCCTATTTCGACTCTATATGTATTGCTGCAGAAGAAATTAATAAGGAAACCCGAGTGTGTGGGTTTCCTATATACGCCTCTACTTAACTTATTACCTTTTCTGCTCACCAATACATCCAAAAAAGGCAATTTATTTTCCTTCTCTAACTCCATGGTAAAATTCGTTGGGCATTTCTACTAAATACGTCCTAGCAAGGGGCTTAACATTTGCCTTTCTAAATTATACTGACTTCAAAGAGGATTATTGTAAATAATAGAGGTAGTGTGATTTATATGTCTTTATTTAAAGCAAATCTTCAAAACTTGGAAGTTTTCAGTAAAGAAATGCCCAATAAAGTTTAACATCGAGTTTGAGAAGGACAATAAATTGCCTTTTTGGATGTATTGGTGAGCAGAAAAGATAATAAGTTAGGTAGAGGCGTATATAGGAAACCAACACACTCGGATTTCATTATTAATTTCTTCTCCAGCAATACATATAGAGTCGAAATAAGAGTCATGAAGTCTATGATAATAAGGAGTCTGCGTATAGCATATGTAAACCACAGGGATTAGGAGACCAGTAGATCGAGGCATATAGTGCTTCAAAACAATGACTCACTAGGATTAATAATCAATTACATATCAATTGTCGTTAACAAGATGAGAGGAGTTTGTTAGCTGGGGTGGGATAGACAATTGGAAAATTCTGCTCGTTTCCTGATTTCATATTCTTGTCATCTCGAGAAAAAGTTGGGTGATCTACTGAGGAAGTAGAACATAAAAATTTACAAATAGAAATGAATGCGTTATTCTGTAGTTCCTTCGTTTAGAGAATTTTCAAATCCTCTTTCTAGATCAGGTTGCCACAAGTTTTCGGACTCATGTGGTAAAGTCTATGAGAGGGAGACTTGCCGACCCATCCAGAAGAAACTATACAAACACAAAACCGCTTGTAAAGGTCTATGGGTCAAAAAGTTTAAGCTCGCTAAACACATGGCCAATACAGGACACTTAATAGACTGGTCCATAACACGTTTTGCCGATTACGGGGACTTCACATCAAAGCGTAAGATTCAGGAGTTTATAAAAATTAGCAAAAAAACTCATGAATAGGAGTAACGAGTGTATAAAACAAAGTAAAAAGTATTTCTGGCCGTTGGATAGATTTAAGGAGAGGGAGAGAGAGGGGGCGCAGGAAGAGCCACTTAGCAACCATTCAGTGACCTACTTTTTC